ACGCTTAATTTATATGTTTCATAAGCATATTATATGTGTTCTTTCTCTAAATAAAATGGGCTGTGATGTACTTCTACCCACTCATTTAAACCTAAGCAGGGATTGATGCTGAAGTGAAATTTGTTCTATAATGATGTATCTTACGGTACCCATTTATTGTGTTCATGTTGCTGGATCTGGAGTTGGAAGAGTTAAAAGTTAGTAAATTGGTGTCATGATGTTTGGAATAAGACTTATCCAGTTTATGAAATTCTTCTTTTTCTTGCCCTTGTGCACATATTTGATGCATGAAATCAGTTTTAGGGAACTAAATCATGTAGTTATCATTGAATGCAGAGAGAAATATCTGTTCCTTAAAACATACTTGTTTTATTTACTTTTGTTGAAAATATGGAAAGAATAATCTCTATGATATTTTTTCAATAGTGTAGAATTATTTTCCTTAATAGTTGATTTTATAATTATTATGCAATATTTCCGTTTATAGTTATTTATAGCCCTATAAATAGGATATTTTACTTTTTAACTGAAATAAGTTTATTAGATACAATTTATAATATTCTTCACGTGATATCAGAACAGTTTCGATCCTAAACACATTAACTTTTGAATTTCGTTTCCGGCGAGCAGCCTTGAGCCGCTCGTCCGGCTACCAATGTTGTTTTTATTTTTTTTATTTTTTTTAATAGGTAATCATGTAAATTTTATAAATCAAAAATAAAAGATAACACACAAGGAGTGCATTATCAGGTTAAACAAGATAGAAACGATAAAAAATTCGGCAACCCTTCTATCGGACTAATGGTTGCAGCCTTAAACCAGCTATACAAAGTCAAGTAAAACAATTCTCTAAATTGCTCTGTCGTCCGTATTTGGTCTTCAAAGCATCTGCCGTTTCTTTCTCTCCACACACACCAAACGATGTCTTTTTTTTATTTTCTTTTTAGACGTATCCATTTGGTTTAGTATATGTCCAGTTCATCTGGAATTTGGTCTAGTTAATTTGGAATTTGGTTTAGTATATGTCCAGTTCATCTGAAATTTGATTTGATGTTGGTTCTGTGTATCCGAAATTTGAAATTTGTATTCAGTTTATTTGGTATTTGTCGAGCTGGAATTTGAAATTTGCATTCCTTTCGTTTAGTAGTGGATGCGTTAGTTACTTGCAGATATGAGTATTCCTTCTTCCTCTTCAACCCGTATTGAGATTGACTATCATCTGATTTCTCCTTCAAGTCTTGGTGATGGTTTGATTAAATTGGTGGATGATGATTTTTCATTATCATCAACTTCAAGTTATTTGTTCGGTTTAGTTGACATACAAGTAATTTTGAAGATTTGATTGGATCGATTTATCTTTCAAACTCAATTTAATTGCTGCTACACTATATTGAGTTTGAGGGAGGATGTTGAAGATATGGAAATAATAATATTTATGATATTTTTCCAATAGTGTAGAATTATTTTCCTTAATAGTTGATTGTATAATTATTATGCAATCTTTCCTTTTAGAGTTATTTATAGCCCTATAAATAGGATCTTTTACTTTGTAATAGAAATAAGTTTAATAAAAACAATTTATAATATTCTTCACAACTTTTATAACCATAAATATAAGCATAAATGTTAATAAACATGAAACTTTGAGAAGAGGAAGAAAGAAAAACATCATATGTAGATAGGTGAACCTGATGTGAATAGAGAACCAAAGAGAACAATTTTCCACATTGCTGAACTATTCGAGAAACACAATTTTATTGTCAATCCATCAAATATGTCCCCATTTTCAGAATGACTGTATATCGAACTTTAGGATGTCTTATGATTTGGTGTCAGCGAATATGTACTT